GTTTTAGAAAAGATATTTTTGATTATTTTAAAGTGAAGTTTAAAGATTTAAATTTACGATGAACTGAATTTTCAAACATCTACACATAATCTAAACATAACTTCTGCGTCTATAGGTGGAGCCTTATTTTAGCCACACCCCTGCATTTTAGAGCAGGAAGTGAGACTGCATCCCTGTCCCTCATGGCCACATGGTGAGCAGTTAGATCCCATTGTTTTGAAGTGAATGTGTCAGTGTGTAAGTGTAACATTAAGAATTGTCACTACTGAAACACATACTTTCTGCTTACTTTTTTCTGTTTTTTTGAAAAACATGATGAATTTATGTGTGTACAGCTGTTCAAAGCTGTGTTTGCTAGTCATGTACTGGCTAGCGTTTTTGAGTTCTGCTCAAAATGAGCTCAAATTGTCAGTACCGAAACAGTCACTACTGATACATTTGGTTTTTGTAGTGCTGTGATTGTTTCAGTAGTAACAAAATGGAATATTCATTTATTCATTTTAATAAAATAAACAGAATTAAAGCATGAGGTCATTCAAAGCAAAAGACTTTTAGTCTAAAGTCCGAGTCGGTTACAAGTCTAAAATGAATTTTGAACTCTGACCTTGAACCTTTGATAACAACAAAATAGTGAAGCTTAATATTACTAGGATCTTTTTTCCCCAATCTGAAAATTACAAAATGGCAATGTAATTTGCTTGTTTACTTGCTTTTGTTGTTTGTAACAAGTTGAAGTTCTCATGGCATGACACTCCACCCACAAACGTCATTAACCAAAATATTCACGTTATGTATTTAGAATGCAATAAATATTTAGCATATTTAGCTGGCTGATGTGTCACTGGCCAGATAAGAAGGTTACGTACATTTCTGAGAACATTTGCTTTTGCAAAACTATGCAAAAGTTTTAGGCACCAGAAAATTAGATTTTAAAAATATTTATCTGGTCAATAAGCATTTATTTGCTCATAGGAAACAGTAATGTACAAGAAATACAAAGATTATTAATATAATAAGTAGTGGGTGTGTCTCAAAGAGCTCCCTAGGTCAGTAGTTGTGGTACTGTCCAGGGAGTCAGCCATTTTCTAGAGTCTCTCATTGTTAAGATAATTCCCGTGCACTGAAACTTTCATTCCCTGAAAGTTCCCAAAATGCAGCATAAAAACCAGTGAGCATCGACTGTTCACTCCCTGTTCAGCTCAATTTTCTTAAAGTTTCGAAAATTAGACGAACACTGTATGTTACCTGACTTGCAAAAACAAATATGGCAGCTGGTGAGACAGACACTCACCACCTCCAAGACCAAATGAAATGCTGTTTCTGAATGATCCTGTATTCATGTCAGAAATGTTTTTTGTACATGTATCATTCTAGAAGGTCCCTCTTGTAAAATGTAGTAAAGAAAATAGTACATATTTATTAGTATATACACAAAATTAATTGCATTGCATTGATTGTGAAGGATTTGAAAATGGCTATCATGGATGAGATGCATTGTGAATAAGAGCGTAATAATAAGACATCAGGGCTGTCTGTGCAGCGATGGTGGGAGCTAACTGGTGAAATAAGTTGTAAAGAAATTGTGAGACATTTGTGTCAGTATCTATATGAAGGAATTAATGAAGATTTTTTATGCAAATCAAGTGCCTTATTTTTAATAAAAGAACAAATTTCTGGTAATGTACTAATTATATTAAAACACAAGATGTAACAGGGGTAGGTGTGGTAGGTGGTGGGTGATGCTGTGTTACTTATATCAGTGAAGATCAGGAGTTTTCTTTCCATACTTGGTTAATTTTCAAACTTTTATTGTCTTATCGTTTCACATGTGTAACAAGACAGGATTTACTCTCAAGAAAGTAACACAATAAACTAACATAAAATCTGTATAGCCAGTCAGAAGCTTCTTTACAGTGGAATTTGTTATGAATCATGAACCGCAATTTTATGGTCAAGTCAGCGCAGATGAACCCCTCACGATACTGATTATTTCATTTTACCCATTATATCTTTGATCCAGGGCAGGAATCCAGAAATCTTGGTGTAGCCATATGGTTTTAGGGGAGTTACACAGTCCTTGACATAGAAGGACATGATTCCGACTGCAGTATTTTTACACACCAATGGACCTCCAGAGTCTCCCTGCAACAAACAGGTACAATCTTAGCACACTGCTGACCTGACCTTTATAAAGCTACTGCTAAAAACTACAAACACTAAATGTAAAACACTGAATGTAAAAGTGCATTTGACAGATTTCACAAGCTTAATCTTCTTTGCCTGATTTATCAAAAAACAGGTTAAGAATCTTAAGAAAAACTTTACCATGCAAAATCCCCCATGACGAGTGTCTGTACACAGTGTATTGGGGTATTTCAACAAAGCTTTGCATTTCTTGCTGCTTAACATCGTGACTTTTGCCTCCAATAGAACATCACTTGCATTTCCACTGTTTTTTGTGCGTCCCCAACCAGCTACACTGCAAGTGGTGTCTTGCTCAATGTCTTGGTCTTTTTCTGGGATGGGGATCCAGGAAGGATTTACAACTGGCGTGGCTAGCTGCAACAAAATCATCAATATTATTAGCAAATGCAGTAAACAGAACTGAATATGATCAAAAACAGAAGTGAATATGATCAAAAACAGAACTGAATATGATCAATAACAGAACTGAATTTGTTTTGATTAAGTCGTTACACTGCAGAGCTTTTTTCAAAATCGTCCCAGAATCACTCTGAAAATATTGCCAGCCAGACCAAAGTAAAACTTAACCGTCCAAAAATATTAAATGGTTTTTGTTTACAATACAGTTCTTTCTGGAATTATCATATTACTATTATATTATGGACTCCAAAAAAAGACAAATGTCAGATGGCAATGAACAAAATAAAAGCTTTAAGCAGTTGTTTTGGGATTTCACCCCCCAGATTTTTTTATTAACTTGTAAAATGTTCAGTTGCTACCTTTTTTATTTAATATAAGGATTCACACGTCAATGAAATATGCAGCGATTCAGCAGTGGTTATTGGGGCTTATACATGTATTTTTTAAAAAGAAAGAAAAGAAACCACTGGGGCAAAAAGTGAAAAACAATGCCCAAAACGGAAAATGGAGAGCTTCTTCAATAATGCCGTTTTAAACTTTCCTCTCTCTCAACATCAGTCTCTTCTACATATTTACTTTCTAATGCCCTGCTAATACAGAAACCTTTTACTAAGTTTATTATTATTAAGTGCATGTAAAATCCTAAATTTAAAACATGACTGTGAGTGTAACACAATCAGTCAGAGACTGTAAAAATTGGTCAAAATAAGAAACTGTAACCTAGGTGTGTGTTACAAGCTTTAATTGATCATGTTTAAGGTAGATAAAGCTAAAAAAGGGGCTAAAAAATGTGGACGCAATGTATTGATGCTTGGTTGTTTGATTCCTGTTGCATAGGAATTCCTACAGTTTCTGTATTAAACATTTTTGGTGTGCATGGACATGTGGGACCAACTGGCACAATCGTGATTTTATAACTGTTTTACCGACATTATGTTTTAAGTTTATGCAAGTTCATTGTCCCTGAAGCATCCTAAAACAGTTTAAACATCGTCCCATGCACTATTTTTATCTTCCCTGAGAAGAGATTCAAAATACTATGTGTCTACAGATCACTAATGGCCTGTGTCCCAGACATGGATTAAGTCTAGTCTTGGGCTAAATTACAGTGTCAATGGTGATTCACCAGTGAAAATTCTTTCTAGTCTTGGATTAAGCTTAATCTGGGTCTGGGAAACGGACCTTAAATGGACTAGGGTCTATTTACATTGCTGACAAGCTGGAAAAATACAGCCCTAATTTAAGTGCCTGTCTTAAAACACCTAATCCAACTTATGAAAGGTTTATATTTAGCTTTTGAGTTGGATCACGTGTGTTGAGGTGGGGTTAGGGGGTCCACAGAGCTGCAGTTGGACCCACTGTCTATAATGGAGTGAACAGGGCCGCTGTGTCAACGAAGCCAAAAAGTAGTGACGACTTTTTGCTCAGTGGTTGCATTTTTTAAACATTCATAAAAATGCCTCACATTGCTATATGGTTTAGAGAGGGGACTGCTGGGATATGTAGTTTTTGGGACCTTTAGTGAGACATACTCACGAATGAAATGCTTTAAACTTTTGTTGCCATTTTCAATAGAAGGTTTCTGAGGGTTAAAGTGGAAGGTTGAGGTTCTGCTTTAGGCCATTTAAATAACACAGCAAAAGCTTTGTTTGAGTAATTACTGCATTTACCTTAAACATTTCACCATGTTTTACCAGTTTTGCCTTGCACAGATTAATAAACTCAAACAGAAAAATTTTGGAGTGATTGTTTACCTTCAGCAGCATGATGTCATTTGCTGGGTTTTTTGGGTCATTGGTAAAGTGTGGGTGGCTGTATTTCTCCGTCACATGTATGCGCTGAAACTTGTCAGTCTTCAGATTATGAGCTCCGATCACTGCTGTCACATCTGTCCATTTTTTTACTCTGTTTTCTACCCTGTTTAGAGGAACCAACAGGTAGCACCTTATTGTTGGACATTAAATGTGCTTATTATCTTTTAAAATAATTACATTTAAATAAAAATATTTTATTAATAAAAATGTATGACACCTTGTTATTTTTTAAAAATCACATGATAAGCCTGTCTGTACAGATTTAAAAGATTGTTCTTGAGAATTTTTTCTATTTATTGTCCCCCAACAGTGAAATAAAATGTGCTCCTCCACCATTAATAGTTTTACAAATACGTAAATTTTAGCTCTTCTCAAATTTTAGCTCTTCTTCAAACAGCTTTTCTCAAAACTATTGTAAAACAGGCTTCAGGCAAAATATTTTTGTGACAGTAACACAGTGAATTACTCACTAATCAAAGACAAATCATTTCTCATTTCAGAATGTTTGGTGAAGCCATTCACAATGCAACAAAGAACCAACTAAAGACGGCAGCAAGATAAAGAAAAAATTGAAAAGCTTACTGATTTTGGCAGTGCGCAGCCGTCATGACGAATTGTTCACTCACAAGGAAGCCACCACAGAAGTGCTGAGTCCCTACTTGGAGAGACACCATGTAGGGTCTGGAGTGAGGTTTAGCCTCTGTGCCATTCACTATACCAACATTCACGCTGGCTGGGAACAAGAAAGTAAATCCAAGCTGATTATACTTAGTTATGCAAACATTGTTATAGACTAACTTTGCTGCTATATTTTTCATAAATGGGTAAATATTGATCTTTGGGCATTTTTGAATCTTAAAGGGAAAAACTCTCAAATCACACATTTCAAAGTCTCAACTGTTTAACTATATTGACTACTAACAAGACTTTAATGTGAACATGCTTGCATTACTTTTTGTGATATATTGTGCATTTTTTTTACATCTAAAACGAATAATTAAGTTACTGTAACAACAATAATTTGGTCCCGACATCTGAAAATGTTTAAATATACATCATGAGCTGGAAATAGCAAAATAATAACAAAACAATTATAAAACAGTAACTCATACAGTCGTACGTAAAAGTTTGAACACTCCTGGAAACAAACTTAAAAATGGCACTTCAGTACACAGTTTCTAGAAAAAATAGAACGTAAACCCAATAAACCCCGATATTTTTTAATGAGCAAATAAACAGTAATTGTGCATTAAAATGTACTTCCTCTGCATCTTAGAATAAAAGATTGAGTATGTTGTTAGATATTTGTATTTTAGTTGAAGCCAGATTAAAACTTGTTTTAAAATAAAGCCTAAAAGATGTTTGTCAGCATCACCATCATTCATTCTGTGGTGGAAATGACATATTAACAGTTCTTGGTTAAAAAAAAAAAGGTCAAAATCTCATCATTCTACGGCTAATCATCCGTGTGTCCTAAAAGCACACATTGATACTTCTTTTTACATTTTTGACATAATTTGACATAATTTTAGTTGTAAAAAAGAAGTGATGAAGACATTTTTAAAAGTATCCAGTACTGTCTTAATGTGACACATATGGAAGAGAAATATTTGTCTATATTTGATCAGATTAAATATGTATGTGCAACGTAATTGATATTTTGAAAATATACACCGATCAGCCATAGCATTAAAACCACCTCCATGCTTAAGCATTCATTGTCTGTTTTATCAGCTCCACTTACCATATAGGTTCACTTCATAGTGCTACATTTACAGAATGTAGTCCATCTGTTTCTCTGCATACTTTGTTAGTCCCCTTTTACCCTGTTCTTCAATGATCAGGACCCCCACAGGACCACCACAGAGCAGGTATTATTTGAGAGGTGGATCATTCTCAGTGCTGCAGTGACACTGATGTGCAGTCCATTCCTTAAGACACACCTACCCTGTCCACCATATAAATGTAAAGATACGGACTGTAGCTCATCTGTTGCTGTTGAAGAACAGGTGAAAGTGGGCTAACACAGTATGCAGAGAAACAGATGGACTACAGTCTGTAATTGTAGCACTATGAAGTGAAACTATATGGTAAGTGGAGCTACAACTACAACTACAATTACAGACTGCAGTATTGTTAAGTGGAGCAAATGAAAGGACAAAGAGTGTAGAAACAAGGAGGTGTACTCAATGAAGTGTTCGATGTACATGTGCAATATGATGGATATTTTAAATATATGCCAATATATGCAAATATATGTATATATTAAAATATATACTGTTTTAATGTGACCCATATGGTGTTCAACACATCTGGGTCAAAACTCTGATGTCCCTGAAGGCCTTCATTGACCATGTTAGATTTAGATTTAGATTAAACAGAACGTCAGAGCCAGGGTTGTGCTCACCTGCTATGATAGACAGAAGTTATGTGTAGGTGACACTTACCAGAGTGGCCCAGCTGTGGCAGCAGAGCAGCCAGAAGGAGCAGAGAGATGAGAGCCATGGTGCTGTAGGGAGAATGAAGGTTCACCTCAGTGAGGGAGAAGATTATATGTAGCATGGTGGGTGAGGTAAGTTCACCACAAGCGGACCCTGTTCTCACATCAAGTAGCAAGTGCTCCTCCTCAAAAACCCTGCTTTTCCTGTTTATCATATAGTGGTTTATTTTCACAGAGATAATATCCGTAACAGACGGCATGTCTGATGTCAGCAAGCTGATGGGTCTGACCCCTGGCCTGTGTTAGGCTCTATGAAATGCTTGTTTTTTTTTTTTAATTCTAGAGAGTGCATTGTTCCAACCTCAAGAAAAGCTAGTCAGAAATAACAGAATAGATAACTCATTTCATTTGTGAATTAATGATTAATGATTAATGAATTAAGTTATTTGTAGGGTTAATGACAACTTACAATTCCTAATTCACAGTCTAATCAAAATACTGAAATTCTAACATCTTACTCATAACTGAAAACTCTGTCACTACATATTATGTTTTACTTCAGTTTGAAATAGTTTTATCATCCAGACCACCAGACAATCATTCCACCAGCTGTGGTTGTCTTATATCTATGTAACATGCAAAAAAGCACTTCTAGTTGTCTATAATGTGCCATTTTGTTCTGTTCTCACATGATATTAGTCATTTTAAAGGTCCTTCTGTGCTCCAAAGCTGTCATGTCTCAAGGTTTATCCATAAGACTCACATGTTTTTGCCTTGTAAAGCTCATGAGTTTTCACATTCTCAAAAGAAATTTAGCTTCACAAAATTTTGGTGTGCTTCACAGTGTCATTGCAGTAACAGCCCAATAAACACAGAATGAACTGCTCAGTATCTCTAGTGACGGAAGCAATACTTCACAAGGAGCCTGACTAAAGCCTGAGCTAATGCACTAACTACAGCTAGCCATATGACAAACAAGGCAGGTGAATCAGATCAGTATTCAGGCGAGGATGAACGACAATTGGCTGTGGATGGTGGTGTGACAGTCATGTGATCTCCCAGGGATTTTGGGAAGTGGAGTTCGCCAAAGAGTCAGGTCTGGAGGAATGCGTGACATTAAACATATGGCAAGTTTCATTTTTGGTGTTTGAGAGATGACCTGACTTGTGTCCAAAGTATTCTGTGCAGTTATTTGGTGCATAAATAAATAAAAAAGTTGCCCAGAGTCAACAGTTAAGGTGCACCAAACCATACTTGCTCTTGGCAAACAGTAGAATCTTTGAGAACCTGTTCTTGGGTAACACTTATAACATAATTAATTGTGATGACACTTGTTTGATTCTGAAAGTTACAAATGGTTTTGAGCCGTCACAGATTTCTGTGTTGTTTTATATGCAAAATGTTGCTTGTGTTAGTTATTTTCTTACCTTTCTGATTCTGGTTTACTATTTACTGCATTTTGGCGTATTCACATACATTGACCAGCCTGGGAAAAAAGCAAACTTTGTGGTGGGGTGAGTGTAGGGGGTGGGGGAGGGGGGGGTTGAAGTGTAAGATCTTCAGAACAGATAGCAATGTGTAAATAAAGAACTTGCTGAAATATTTCAACATTAAGCTGATACTCACAAACCCATGAGATTATGCCTGATATTAGCAAATACAAGCATTTTTAAGTATTTTTTTTAGCAGTTACTGACAGAAAACTGTTTGAATGAGAAAAGCATACAGGATAAGCTACTTGGCTGTGGCAGATTATTTTTCAAATGGAATCTCACCTCAAGTGCATATATATATATATATATATATATATATATATATATATATATATATATATATATGCGTTGTTTTTCTCTGAAATATGATGTTCATGTTCAAGGTTCAAGGTTCAGGGTCATCACTGTTGACCCCAAAGAGCTTTACTTTGACAGATTTTGACCACCCTCTGTGGTTCATAAGAACATTCTAGCTAGTTAGGCTAAAATGTCGGACTGGGAGCTCCTGAGTTGTGTAACCATTGAAGAGCTGGCCTTATGGCCTTATTTACCTGGCTCTCTCTTGGTGGGTTGGATGGCCCTCTCTCTCCCTCATCACTCAGCGCAGCTGCAAGTTAATATAACATAAGTGACAGTTAGTGTTCTTTCCAGCTGTCCAATAATGTTGCATTAGCAGCAGTTACAAAAATGTGCTTCGTGTGTCTTGGAGGAAGCGTTCACTAACCTTCACCCTCCAAGCTTGGTGGCATCATGTGAGACCTAACTAGTGGGTGGAAATTGGCTATGACTAAAATTAGAGGGAAATTGAATAAAAATAACTTGTTGAACTGAATCATAGAAAGAATTTTTAATGAATTGAATTTTTATCAGGTCATGTTGTCTGTCCTGATGTTTTGCACCAAAGGTTCTCAATCTCTAAGAGGCCTTGATGAGCAGATATGGAACCCCTATGGTAATAAAAAGATCACATTGTCTTTACAAAGAATTTGTGATGCGAATACTTAATTCACATGTTAAACATATACGGCTTATATTCACCACAGAAATATAACAAAAGCAGTGCGCTTTGTGGCTTCCATCTTAATGGTTCTGTGTGCTGGTGAACATTCGAAAGGAGACCTGGCGGTGGGCAGGGTGGTAGGGAGGGGGCATGTTCCTCCTATTTGGTGAAATCACGCATGGTCATTTTGAGGTTAAAGTAACATTTGCCTAAAAATACCCTGACCCGTGATATCATATTGTCATTTCACGCTAAAATATGGTCACTGTTGGAGTCAAGACGTGCTTCAAATTCAGCTAGCAGGTTTTCGCTGAAAAGTCTTTGGTAGTGTCCTTGAGTGCCTTGCAAAGCAGCTAGCATAACAAGAGCAAACTTTAGTAGCAGTAGAGTGGGATGCTCTGGAGCGGCTGCACATGAGCCCAGTGCCACATGCCCAGAGTCAATTGTCGGCTATGGGGTATAGAGTCCCTCAGCATTGGGCTGTGGAGCAGTAGACTGCGTTCTCTGGAGCGATGGAGCTCCATCCATTATTCTCCACTGAAACCAAAATGTAGTCCAGGACAAGACTTAATCTCTGTCTGGGAAACTGACCCCCTGGGTTTTCAGTGGGGTCTAGGTAACAGGACAGGGAAAGGGGACTGCAAAAACGTGATTCTGTAATCAGTGAAATGTTTTGTTTTTTTAATATCCCTTTGTTCATCGGTCTGCTGAAAGATACTTTGCATTTGTTAGAGATGACATGTATCCTAACAAGTTTTCCAGACATCTGGAAATGGAATATTCTCTCAACATCATGGATACTTCACCATAGAGATCATTGGCTTCTTTACATCAAACCTCTGGCATTGGTTGCTGTAAAGCCCAATTTTTTGTGCCTCACTGGGCCGTAGAACACAATTTTGTTCCATATTTTAGTAACCAAATTACATGCATATTTACTCAACTGTAAGCACTTACATTTGTAATTTCTGAATATTTTGCTATTATAGAGATCTAATTGCAGTTTTGTTGTATTAGATTCTTTAAGATGCAGTTGTTGTGCAATTTTCTAAATGTAACCCATGGACAAAGTGTTCCCTCTCAAACCATTTTTTGGGAAAATTCCACTTCATGGTCAAAGCTGCATGTGACACATGAAAAAGTTGCTGGTGAAATGATGTCTTGTTCTAAGTCAAAATAAGTTCACATACACTACAGAGAACAAACTCAAATATGGCGTTTTTCTGCAAATTTTAATGCACAATTTCTATTTATTCACTTATTTTAATAAAACATAAAGCAATAAATGTGCCATAACTTTTAGGCCACAGTTTATGCTTAATTGTTCATCCAATATGATCAGTTCAGCAAATAAACAGTAACTGTGCATTAAACTGTGCAGAAGTGTGTTCTCTGTGGAGTATGTTAAATTATTTTCACTTAGAAAATCAACAAAACATGTTATTTGGCCTGATGTGGCCAAACCTTTACATACAACAGTATATATGCATGTGATATGTTGGGTCTGAGAGAGGCCTGATAGTTTCAAGTGACTAATTCGATATAAATCAAGTGTAAAGGTAATAAATTACTGTGTGAACTAAGAATTCATTAATGAAAGTCTCTGAAGGTAACTGGATCCTTGTTTTCCAGGGCAGAAGTTCAGTGTAATTAAAGGAAGAAAAATGCATGTTAAAATAGACTAAATAAAGAAATGAATGAATGAATGAATGAATGAATCAATGAATCAATCAATCAATCAATAAATCAATCAATCAATCAATCTTCCTCAATGTGCAGAGCATGCAACCAGTCAAACCCACCACACTCAGTTCCATGAATATATATATTCAAGATGTTATGGTGGAACTCTGACCTAACTGACTGAGGGCAGTGGTAACTGTCAGGAAGGACAGCTGTATTCCAAAAATTCAGTCAACTGCAATGACTCAAGGACAATTTAATTGTGATTTGCAAATTATTATTTTTTTATTTTTTATAATGACATGATAAAGCACAGCTCAAATAAAGCAAAAAAAAAAATCATTAATGCATGCAAAAGGAAAAGATTTTGTTTATTGATTGTTTCATTGTAAGTCATTGATAATTTCTTTGATCCAGGGAAGAAACTGAGATATCTTCGTGTAGACGTTTGGCACTGTCGGTTTGTCACAGTTCCCACTTTCAAAGAAAGACACGACTCCGACTGCGATATTATTACACACCAAAGGACCTCCAGAATCTCCCTGCAAAAACACTTACGTTAGTACATTGATTAACTGACCCCTCTTTAAGCTGCTGTAAAGCGTATTGGGTAGCTTTTATAGCTACAGCAAGACAGAGAGAGAGAGAGAGAGAGAGATTTGGCACTTTACCTGACAAAATCCACGGCCGGAACCTGCGCACAGCATATTTGATTCTGAGAAATATTGTCCCCAGTCACTTTTGCATTTTTTTGTTTCTATGACGCTGACGTCTGCCTCCAGAAGACGGGAACTTAAAGGGCCTTCAGATGAAATTTTTCCCCAACCAGCGACGCTGCAAATGGTATTGGCCTCGACATCCTTATTTGTTTTGGGGATGGAGATCCACTCAACAGTTTTGCTCCTTTGGGCTGGTTTTTCAAGCTGAAACAAGATCACAATTATTAAATAATGAAGTGAATAGATGCTACACTTCTCACAGAATGACAGACCCAAGTAAAAACATGAATGAGGGGGACTGATCGTCAGTCTGTTTACCTGCAGGAGCATGATGTCATTGTAAAGACGCCTGTAACCAGGATAGATGTGGTAGAACTTCACTGGTATGCGGTAATAGTTATAGTTGTCCAGATCATGAGCACCAATCACCACTGTCAGATTCGCCCCACTGTTAAGAGGAATCAAATGATAGCACCTTGATGACTTTTGTTCTGTAATGAAGTGTTCAAGTTCTTAAATATGCTGTTTTGAAACATTTTCTCCTGCTGATTTATATGTAACAACCGAAATGTTAGTTCTTAATATGTTCTCGTCATGCACCCAAAATACTATTAGCATTAAAGCTACGAAGCAGAAGTTAGTTTCTTATTCTCCAGTTTTATTTTTTTCCATTCCGCCTTAAATGGCGTCAGAATGTAACTGCTGCACCATTTAAGGTGGAACAGGAAAATTCAAAGAAGAAGCTGGTGAATGTCCTTATCAGACAATTTTATCAAAGGTAAGCCTTAATAGTAAACTGAGTCTTATTGAACTAACATTATTAACTCCAAAAAATGTTTAAAACACTGAGTTACTAAGCTGTAGGATTGATATAGGATAAATTGTTAGTATACAGGTTACGGCAGTTGGATCACTTTGTGGTTTGCCTGCCTTCTCTGAGCATGACCAGAAGAGTATTAAAAGAGGTGAAAACCACTTTCAATCTGGTCATGTTGAGCAGTGTAGCCTGAGTGTAGCCTGAGACATCAGTTTTCAAAATTGACAAGCTTACCAGCTCTGTGTCAGATATTTCTCAGTGGATGTCACAATTTTAATTAGAAATAAAAAAAACCTAAAGAGAAAATACTAAAATACTGATTTATTATTACAATAAATAATAACAAGAAGCTGTTTTGTGTCACATACCAAACCTGAAATTGAAACTCTGTTTTATTCCGTAAACACAATCACTAAATTTGAGAAATATTGATAACATTCAGCCTTTTCTACCTCAGAGCGATGCAGAGAAACCTGTTCATGCATTTGTCACAATCTGATTACTGTAAAGCTCTTTTTACTGGGCTTCCTTACAAAACAACACATCCTGTATAACTACCAAGCACAGCTACCTAACTACCTAACAAAAACAAAAAAGAGCTTATATTACACTCATTTAGAAACAACTGCACTGGCTGCTTTTAAAGGTCTTTTACTAGTTTTTAAAGCTCTAAATGGCCTTAAAGCACCTGCGTACCTCACAGAACGTCTGTTCATGTTCCAGCATGTAATCTTAGATCTGCAAAATCTGGCCTTCTGCAAATACCTTCCATGGAATATAGACAACGTGGCGAGACTTTTTCTGTTACTGGGCTTCTAATGTGTGGAATTCCATCTTTTATTAGGCAGTGATGCTCAGTAAACTTTGAAGAAACATTTGAAAATGTATCTCTAATTTAGCTTTTAATTAAAATTTATACTCTTAACTTTCATTTATTTATTTATTTTTCCCAAAATTGCCATTGTAGAACATCATCTATAATAGAAGAAAATCAAACTCAACTTTAATATCTTCTATTACTCTTAAAGTTTAACTCCTGTCTGTAAAGCACTTTGAGCTGCCACCAGTATCCGGTATGAAAAGCGCTCTATAAACAAAGTTGTTGTCGTTGTTGTTATTATTATTATTATTATTAGTAGTAGTAGTAGTAGTAAGTTCATGTTTCATGTTGTGTGTTGAATTTTATTTTCAATTTTATTTTATTATCAGGCACTGAGTTCAGCATGAAATATTCAGTGACACTGGATGATTTTGTCAATTTTCGTATTTGTGTAAAAGTATGTCATCAAGTAAGCAAAAGCTTGTGTTACGCCATCATGTTACAGCTTTTGCTGGTGAGACTTTATTTTGAATGGTCTTTTTTAGATGAAACAAACACTCAGCAGACTCTCAATAACATCAACAACATATCAGTGATGTAGCAGCAGTGAATACATTCAGACTTTCAAGATTTTAATGAACTGCATGAATAAAATTTGCTCATTATCTGCTGAATTCAGTTGTTTTTCACTTTGTTTGGAGAGTCCAAATTAATGTCTGTAGATGTTTAACCTGAGAGGTCACTGAACATGTACAGATCATCTCAACATCCTCAACAAGCTGTTATAGACATGCTGCTGACACCATTCTGTAACTGGATCTTAACTAGATTAGGATTTGGTTATGGTTAGGGTTAGGATTGGGGCCATGATTAGGGCTGAAAAAGGAAAAGGTTAGCTTTAGCTTGATAGAAGGAACATATTACATCTACTTCTTGTACCATATCAACAATACGTCTTCTTAACGCTAAGTAATCTATCAACAATATTACTTCAAGATTTTTAACTCTGTGAATTCAGATGCTGCCCAACTGCTATTTCACTGATATGTTGATGAGTTACTGATACTCTGTTAAGAGTTTATTAATCATCTACAAAGGACCACCCAAAATAAAGTGCTACCCTGTTGCACAGTGACTTTTTTCATGGTTTTCATTTTTCATGGCCATGGCAGTAACACAGATGTATTTCCTGTCTTTGTAGCCCTCTTTCCAGCTGTTTGATGTTTATCTGGTCAGTCCAATGGTGATCCCTTTCCTATTGATGGATGTAGTAGATTGACTAATAAATAGTCCATCAACATATGAGCTAGTCATTGTAAACCTACAAAGAGCATCTATATGGTAGATGTTTCTGATAAAATGGCCAGCAAGTGTACTAAACAGGTGTACCTAATAAACCTCAGTATATAAGCCGAGGCTATTTCTGCTCACACCTGTCTCTGTTTGAGATGTTTGAGAAATATGATTTCATTGTTCTGTGATCACTGAAGAATCATTGTGTAGGTGTAGCGTACTTTTCTTCAGTGTTACAGATCACATGATCACAAGGATAAAGATCATTCTTAGAGCTAAAACACAGTGAGAAAACATTGGGTTGAAGAAAAGAGAGAGAAAAAAAAAACAGCTTACTTGTTCCAGCAGTGCGCAGCCGACATGACAAAGGATTCAGACACAAGAAAGCCACCACAGTGGTGTTTCCCGTTTTCCTGAAGAGAAACCATGTAGGGTCTGGAGTGAGGTTCAGCCTCTGTGCCATTCACTATGCCAACATTAACGCTGGCTGAGAAAGAAAGAGTGAAGCCAACCTGGTTAGAATTACACTGAAATGAATGTAACTGCCTTGTTTCTGCACTAGACATCTCAAAATTAATTGACATACCCAATTTCATATCTGAAAATGGATACTTGACACAAATGAAAGATCAAAAGATAGAGGAGGAGGAGGCCTGGAGTTAGAGGATACATACCAGAATGGCTCAGGCATGGCAGCAGAGCAGCGAACAGAAGCAGGCAGGTGAACACCATGGTGCAGAGCAGAGCGAGTGAGTTCTGCTCAGAGAGAAAGAGGAGTTTAAGTAGTACAGTGCATCAGTCTCGATCACTCTGCATTTCCTTTTACAAAAGTGCACTTTACTGCACACTGTACTGTGCAAAAGTCACAGACCACATCACTGTTTAATTTCCTCTCATGCTATTCATTTTTAAACATCAAGACAAGGATATATTTGTACACATATATTTAACAGAAAATTACACAGTTACACAAGTTTCATGTCCATGCTTTGTCTTCACTACAGCTTCTATTTTTTTTCAAGAGAACTGCTTTTAATTTTTTCAAAGAAAACTGGAGAGATATTTTTCCACACCTCAAAATATTCAGTCTCAGAAGTTGGTTGCATTTTCTGCTACTCACAATTCAAGTAATGCCAAACATATCTAGTGATGTTGAGGTCTGGACTCTGGGGCGGTCAGTCTATTGTTCAGAGAACACCAGTAGCCTCTTTATTTTTTATATTTTGCAATTTCTTTCTTTTTTATTTCAGACTGTTAGTGCTGAGTTGTCTTCTCACAGTGTAAGGATGGACAGAAATACGTGTGGATTTTTTCAGATCTGAAGCAAGAATGGAGCTTGATTTTCTCCTCTTTCTCAGTTTATCTGATGGTGACTGTTGTGGTGGTCTACCACCAAACAGTTTTTAGGAGTCCCCTTTTCTCCGTATCTATGAATAGTAACTCCAGGTTTTTCACTATATTTTTGCTTAAGGAGTCCAAGGTTGAATTTCTTAAAATGGATCACTGTGTTGCCAGTATATTAGGTACGCATACCTTGTCCCTACATTCATTGGCCATTTTATCAGAAATACAACTGCAGGTGCATTTTCTAGATTTACAGTTACTGACTGTAGCCCATCAGTTGCCACACAATCTTTTGTTGTATTTTTCTTTTCATAATGCATGAAATGTTTTCAGTGGGTTACAGGTCTGGACTGCAGGCAGGTCAGTTTAGCACCCAGACTCATTTACTACGAAGCCATGCTGTTGTATATGAGCAGAATGTGGTTTGACATTGTCTTGCTGAAATAAGCAAGGCCTTACCTGAAAAAGATGTTGTCTGGGTGGCAGCATATGTTGCCAAAACATGTATATCGCTCAGCATTGATGGTGCTTTCACAGATGTGCATGTCACCCATGCCATGTGCACTAATGCACCCCTATACCATCATGAATACTGGCTTTTGAACTGGGCACTGATAACAAGCTGAGTGGTCTTTATCCCGGAGGACGCAGTGTCCATGATTTCCAAAAAGAATTTCAAATGTTGGTACGTCGGACCACAGGACAATTTTCCACTTCCTCTCCGTCCATTTTAAATGAGCTCGGGCCCAGAGAAAGTGGCAGTGTTTCTGGATCCTGTTTATATGTGGTTTCTTCTTTGTGTTCTAGAGTTTTAGCTTGCATTTGTAGATGCAGTGATGAACTGTTTTAACAGACAGTGGTTTTCAGAAGTGTACTTGAGCCCATGCAGTGATTTCCTTGCGCCTTTCACAGATTGGTGAACCCCTCTACATCTTCTCAGCCTCTCTGGGATGCTTTTTTAATACCCAATCACGTTACTGACCTGTTGCCACCAGGTGTTTTTTAGCATTACACAACTTTACCAGCCTGTTGTTGCCCCTGTCCCAACTTTTTTGGAATGTGTTGTTGGCATCAAAATTCAAAATGGGCATATATTTTTCAAAAACAATAAAATTTCTCAATTTCAATATGTGATATGTTGTCTTTATACTATTTTCAATTAAATATAGGGTTTAAATGTTTTGCACATCATTGCATTTTGTTTTTATTTACATTTTGCACAGCGTCCCAACTTTTTTGGAAATGGGGTTGTATTTAGGACAATCAGAAGTCCTGGTGTAACTTTTTCCTCTGCCTATTGGAAATCAGAACCTGATTGGTTGATTCCATTGTCACTTTGTAATTATGCTGGCAGTTACACTAATGTGTTAGGCCTTCAGCTCTTAAAGTCCTGACAAAGAAGTGAGCTCATTTATCTACACCTAGATGCCACAGAAAAAAAAAACAATTCCTGATTGGCTAATTATTCCCTCAGCTTTTGAAGGTTTTAACCTTCCAGAACCTAACAATAAAAGTAGTACTACTTGCAGAGTTTAAATGTAAGTGTTATTCTACCTAATAAAAATGAATAAAAAATTACAGACATGTATTTTTCAGTTTCCAGAAACCATTAGGTCTTCTCTGAAGGTCTTGAAGTGCCATGAGGGTTCCCCACTGTTGATTTGTGGCTCTCCTGTTGATTCATTCCAGAAAGTGTGGCTCCTTTGGACAGATCTACCATACATTTCTCTCCTTGCATCTTCTTAGTTGGCCTCGTATTTCCTTTAGTCCTGGTGTCAGGCCTGTCTTAAGGACCATGGTGTACATTTGAGGTTACATTTACATTGCTTGTAGCTTGGGGATCAAAATTCAAAAAAAGTTGCGATGGGGGCGACAAAAGGCTGGTAAAGTTGTGTAAAGCTTAAAAAAAACACCTGGTGGTGAATTTTTTTGGAAATCATGGACACTGATTCCTCCAAGCTAAAGACCACTCAGCTTGTTATCAGTGCACAGTTCAGAAGCCAGCATCCATGATGAAATGGGGGTGCATTAGTGCACATGGCATAGGTGACGTGCGCATCTGTGAAGGCACCAGTAATGCTGAATGATATATACATGTTTTGGCAATACATGCTGCCATCCAGACAACATCTTTTTCAGGGAAGACCTTCCTTATTTCAGCAAGACAATGTCAAACCACCTTCTGCATGTATTAAAACAGCATTGCTCCATATTAAAGGAGTTCGGATGCTAAACTGGCCTGCTTGCAGTCCAAACCTGTCACCACTGAAAACATTTGCTGCATTGCGAGATGAAAAATATGACAAAGAAAACCCTGAACTGTTGAGCAGCTGAAATCCTACATCAAATAAGAATGGGAAATCATTTTACTTGCAAAACTATAGCAGTCGGTCCTCCTCAGTTCCCAAACGCTTACAGAGTGTTGTTAAAAGAAGAGGTAATGCAGCACAGTGGTAAACATACCCCTGTCCCAACTTTTTTGGAACGTGTTGTTGACATCGAAAATAAAATGGGCATATATTTTTCAAAAAACAATACAGTTTCTCAGTTTCAATATTGATTTGTTGTCTTGGTACTATTTTCCTTTAAAAATGTGGTATACATGATTTGCGTATCATTGCATCCTATTTTTATTTATATTCTGCACAACATCCAAACTTTTTGGAAATGGGGTTGTATTTTAATCTCTCAATCAGACTCTTCAAAGTTAATTCAGCTTTACTAGCTGTGTTGAGTAACATGAGCAGTGCATATTTTGGCCTTTGTTGGGCAAAAACAGATACATCTACTATACTTCTAATCAGGAAATCCTATAAGCGGTCTGCAGTTTTTATTTCCAGAAATGACAAAAAAGTACTGAATTGTTTTTCTTACCGAAACAAAGTAAGCTCTCGTATACACAACATAAACTTTTCGTGCAAATCATAAAAAATCTCTCTTCTACTTCCAAACAAAATGTGGAGTCAATTGGAAGTTCAGAATATGTACTTTCCCTTTGAATTTCTATACTTGTTTCAATGAGCTCCAAATGAAAAACACATCATTAGGTCTTAATTAGCCTAAAACCTGCCAGGAGAAAAGTGCTTTGGTTTGGTATGTCTGAGTGCAGCACTTTGTCAGTGCTTTCTCAGTGGTCAAAAAAGATGTCCACTGATGTCCAGCCTTCTTGCATAACCCTTATCCCTCTACTTTTGAAGATTCATCATGTGGCATAATCTTCTGATAAACTGTTAGAAATAAAGGTTCTGTCCAGGTACATTTTTTGTTCAACAAGCTACAAACAATGTAAAAGTACCCTCAAAGGTACAACAGTGGTTTTAGGGTCCAATTGTGTACCTTAAATAAGTTTTTCTCAGGTGAAAAGTACATATTTGTACCTTTTCATAACCTAATCTTTTAAAACAATAGAAGAAAAAGTGTGGAGATGAGACGGGGTGTGTGGAGTCGATACAACTTACAAAATATAATTTAAGTGGATTATGGCATAATTATATTCCCTGGGTACTGAGATGTAACCTTGAGGGTATCAGCCCAGTGACAAGAGGGGTACTGCCCCAGTGACAGTTTACTACCTTTATTTCTGAGAGTGTCTGTAGATCACAGTGTTCAGAAATCTTCTTTGATTTAGTTGAGAGGTTAAAACCGTAATGAGAAGAATCAGGAGATGCTTCTTATACTGTTAATGTTTTGTACCACCAGGTCTTATTTGTGGGCATGATAATGGATGAACAGAGCATATTTCCACTGTGTTCGTAAGTGCATTAACACCTCCGTGTTGCCCACTCACACAGCTTACATGATCATACACTTGGCAAAAAGGTGTAGGTGCTCTTCTTACAAATGCTGCTATAGCTTCAGCATTTCTGCATGCAAGAAATGTCATTGTGTCATCCATCTGTACTGCTATGTTTATCTCACCATCAATCTGACTTTGCATCACTTCTGCACTGCTAGCTGTGATGTGGTTTTGTCACGTGCTACACATACTCGAATGAGTGTGACATTTATCAGATTAATCAAAAAGCTTAACTGATCGAAATACAAGAAGGTTGAGTTTCAAACTGGACATTTTTAGAACCAGTATGCTGCTGTGTCACTCTGGATTAGGCTTCTAAATCCAGACATCCACCTATTAGTCAAAGGTTGTTTAGGGAACCACTTGGTGGGGCTTGTTTGAATGGCCTGCTTCAAATTAGCACTTCAGTGAGCTTGAGGACAGGACTCTGCCTTGTCAATTATAAATTATGCAACTACTTGGTTCTGAACATAGACAGTAGCTGTTCTAATGGCAAACTGTTCTCTTACAAACTGTGCCCAACATGATTTTCTTATAGTTCTGTTCAGTGCAGCAAAACTGTTTGGGTGGGATGGTCTTAGATCACATGTAGACAGCCTGTTATTACTAGTGTGAAGCCATGACAGAATAGTAAAGG